CTACAGGCTCCAAAGCCTTGGTGAATCGGCGTGCGAGGCGTTGGCGCTGCCTTTAGTAAGCTCTCTTCGATAAAGTGGGCGGGCCTCCAGCGACTATCTCCTTGATTGAGGAAGAGTCCATATCTGCAGATCTGGCCTCGTTGGAGGCCGGAGGGGCGTTACAAGGCGTGATTGCAGTAGCAACGGGGTGTTGATCATCCGACGATTGCAAGGTACGGAGGATCTGGGAGGAGGATGATAGATACTCCTCGAACTTGGCCTGGTCGAACACGTACTCGACCTCTATGTTAATCGGGATTCGGATCTGAGGTTGCGACACATCATCCTTTGTAGAAAGGCTGTTGGCTCCCACTGTAGTCGCCAGGGTATTTAGGTCAGAAATTGTTGTTTTCATTGTCATCAAATCTATTACAATTTTAGACATTACAATACACTCAGATAAATAAAAAGTTGATCTTTTTATAAGATCTTCTTACATAATGAAAATATAAAGATTACGATTCCTTCAAACAACACACATATCCTATTTATTAGTCTTTGTTTGCGTGTGATCTTCACCTATGCTAAGGACATGTTAGTCCGTGGACGTGGATCAGATCTGGTTAACAGAAGATTGATTAAAGCTCTTACTTTATAAAGGAAGTAATCGCTAAAGTGATAATCTCGACCAAGTGAGATTACGACTCTTCTCGAGATCAAAAACAAAGTTTGATCCGGAGGAATGGGGGAACGGGGCTTCAGATCCTTCGAATTGCTCATTCTTTATGATGGGATTTGCCAAGATCTGTTAGTCCTCTCTTAAATTCGTGGATCACTCTTCAAACTGACAGCACCTCGCCCAAAATTTCAAATCTGGTGAAATTAGCCTCTAAGCTTGTATTTATAGGCTTTTGTTGCAGTATTTTCTAATAAGAACTAATGATTTGACATTATCTACAGTCAATAACCATTTAACCATGTTTAGGGATAGCTTCAAAGCAGTTGGGGAGGCTCTGGAACAAAAGAATCCTAAAAAACTATCAAATAACGTGTTTTCAGCGTTTCTGGATGCGAGCCACCATCTGGTGGCTTGGCACT